ACTTGTTTGTTCTTTTGACACTCATGGAATATTCGGTACATTTCTCTAACACCATAGCACAAAAACATCAATTCTTCCTCTGTCCTCCTTATTCATTGTCCAACTTTTAGATGGATAAGAAGGGACTGAAAAAACCATGGCTTGAGTCAGGTGCACCTTTGTTTTTAAACTGACTTTGTTGCTCACCTTGTTAGGGGTTCTTGACAGCAAATTTTCTAGTACAACATATCTTTTGGTTTCTTGAGTGCTAGTACCAAACGTGTTGATTGTAGATCCAGGGGATTTTAAATCTTTGACAACTTCAATCTTTTCTCTGTCTATAATGATATTTTCTATTACCTCTGTAGAACAAAATTCTTAAATGTCCTTTCTCTAAAGAGTACTAGTTTTTTATAGCCAGCAAATTTCTTAACCTAGGTTTAAAATTTATTTGTGAGTAATTGATGAGTTGTAAATTTTAAATAAAGGTTAAGAAATTTTCTGGCTATCAAAAGTTAACTGTTGTTATGTGCTGCTGAGTCACCTGCGACTCATTACGACCCTATGTACAACAGCCCTACACCTTGCTCTGTCCTGTGCCCGTCTCACTATCTCTGATACACCTAAACCCATTACCGAAGGCACTAAATCTATCCATCTTCTCCATGGTCTTCCTCTCTTACCCTGTTCCTCCACCCTCCCATGCATGACACCCCTCTCCAAGGACTGGTCCCGCCTTGTAACATGCCCAAAGTATATCAGATGAAGCCTCAGAATCCTTGCCTCCAAGGAGCAGCCTGGTCTCACCCTATCTAGGACAAAACTGCTTGTTCTCCCAGCAGTCCATGGTATATTCAATACTCTTCTCTAGCACCACAGCTCGAAGGCATCAATTCTCCTATCATCTTTAAGTCATTGTCCAGCTCTCTGATGCATAGCAAGTAATAGCAAAGACTCTGGCCTGGATTAGGTGCACCTTGGTCTTAAGACTGACATCGTTGTTCTTCAGTACTTTGGAGAGATCTCGACAACAGGCTTTCCCAATGCAATTCATCTTGTAATTTCCTAGCTGCTGGTACCAAGAGTGTTGATTGTGGGGTCAAGCAAACTAAAGCTGTAAACAGTCCCAATCTCTTCACCATCTGTCATGATGCTGCCAATCGGCCCAGTGGTGAGAATCTTTGTTTTCTTGATATTGAGCTTCAATCCATATTGAGGGCTACAGCCATTCATCTTCTGCAGCAAGTGCTTCAAGTCCTCCTCAGTTTCAGCAAGCAGGGTTGTGTCATCTGCATAACTCAGACTGTTGATGATTCTTCCTCCAATCTTGATGCCACATTTCTCCTCATAGAGCCCAGATTCCTGGATAATCTGTTCTACATATAAATGGAAAGGTATGGAGATAGGACACATCCTTGGCGTATGCCTTTCCCAATTTTGAACCATGCAGTGTTTCCTTGCTGTGTTCTGACGACTTGTTCATAAATATGGTTGTGATCAACATTTAAGAATTTTGTTATACATAAGAAAAATTCACTTTACCAAATGCTGTAACAAACCATTTTCTGATAGCTCACTAGTTATAAATAATAATCTTGTGATAAAATTTAGGTTCTGGCTAAAGTGTTGAGACAGATTATGAAATAAGATTTGACTGTTGTCGTATAACACTTAATGGAAACTAATTTTGCTATAATTTGAATTAAATAATAATCATCATTATACTTTTGTAGTGCTTACTATATTTCAGGTAGTTTGTGAAGTGCTTTACATATATTATATCTTATAATCCTCACAATAACCTTATAAGGTTAATGTTATTATCCACCCTTTAAGGATGAAATTGAGTCCAAGAGAAAAAACTTGCCCAAGGTCACATAGGGAATGATAGAGTTGGATATTAAATCTGCATTTGTCTAACTCTAAAGCCTGCCTTTGATGACAACACTATAATGTGGAAGAAAATCATTACTCAAATCACCAGTTAAATATGGATTAGCATTCTTGAATTTTTAGATAGGAGATTTTAGTGTCACTTCTTAGAGAACAGCTTTCTCCTTTTTGATTCAGTTACTCAAGAAATGTCATTCCATCTAATATTCATTCTTTGCATTCAAAGAATATAAATTATTATTGGTGCATATTCTTTTACTGCTACATTCTCAGATATATTACTGCATTAGCTATATGGGTAAGGTGGTTTTCTCACAGGTTAGGTGAGGTGGACAGTGTGAAATAAGCTGTGTGGCATATCAGATCATCTTTTGTACTTCTAACTTCCTATTAAGAAGAAAATATGCAATTTTTTTAAAAAAACACTTTCATGGATACCATCTCTGGCTTGCAACAAACTCTAAACTCTTGCAATCATCTTTTAATGGAATGTGTGTTTTTGTTTGTACTTAATTCCCATTTTTGAGCTTTGCGTTGTCTTCAAGTTTTTCAGTATTGGGAAGGCAAGTCTTGTTCATCATTTTATGGTTTTTATTGAATGTGTTTGCTGCTGTGAGACTTTCAGTGTAAAATATACTTTAGGAAACATATGAAGTATAGAACTCTCTCATTTTGGCATTTAAAAATGCCAACTTTAACCTTCAAACTTACTCTATTTCTTTTCCTCCCTAGTTTATCCATAAAACTAATAGTTATGAAACCTGTAGACATAAAGATAAAAGGGGGAAAAAACCCAAACCAACCAACCAATCCTCTCATCTTTATCTGGCTGGTAGTGTGGAAATAGCCATCATTCAAAGAATTGGCTGTCTACCCAGATACAGGATAAGAGCCAAAATCCATTGATACCCTTCACAAAAGACTGTGATAATTTTTCAAAGTCTTACTAATCATAATATTGATTTCTTTTAATAGACGTTTAAATGTTAATTAAATTTCCATTACGTTGAGTATAAAATATCTCCTCTCTCAATTTTATTGTATTCATGTGTATGTGTGTTATGCTTATGGTAATGCGTAATGCCCTACAGAGCCAAATATAGTACTGGAGTCAAGACTGGTATATTTAGGGCTGCATCTTTGAACTGCAGTGGCTTTGTACATGTGTCCAGCACCACCTGGACAGACTTCATACATCTTCATCAGATATACAGTCACTGGGGGAGCAAAGAGTGCTGTACTAAATGACTCTGCCAGAGTGGGATAGTACCAAATGAGTACCTATAAAAGTTTTGTGTAATGTATACTAAAAAAAACCCTAATTTTTTAAATGAAAATATAACTGTCATTAGTTACAATGACAAAATCATTTATTAGCAAAAAAATTTAATTGTGATATAATTATTGAAAATTTACAAAAAAGTTGGATTTTTCATTCATTCATTATTGTGCATTTTCTTCCCTACCTACCCCCAGTTTCCTTTAAAAAAGAAAAAACATTCATTGTTACATAGTTTCCTCCTCCCCCTCACCTAGTCCATTTTAATATGGACCTTTTATTCTGGACTGGTGCTAATTTACTATTTGAGCCTTCTGTTACACACTTGTCAAAGCTTCTGTTATTACTCAATTACATGGTTTCTTCCACAGAAGTTAAATACATGTGCTGTTAGTCACTGATATTTTCTGGAGTTTTAACCACAAGGTTATGACCATTAGTATTTATGAGCTTCTATCAATAGCTTTTTTGAGAATGAATTAGTAATTAAAGGAAACCAAAACCCCATACCCACTGCAGTCAAGTTGATTCCTGACCCTCTGTGGATTTTCAGAGGCTTGAGTATTTGCAAGAGATGACTCTTCATCTTTCTCCCATGGAATGGTTGGTGGATCCAAACTACCAGCCTTAATGTTTGCAGCCTACTATGTCACACACTACACCACCAGCACTCCTTAATTATAAAAGAAAAAAAAGAAGGGGGGGGAAGACTCTTCACAGTTGCTAATAATGTTGTTACAATATAATTCAGTGTAAAAAGTTTTTGCTATTAGTGTTAATATAATATAAAAATACTATGTATAGTAAGCAACAAATGCTGGCAAGGTTGCAGAGAAACTGGAACCCTTATTTACTGTTGGTGGGAGTGTAAAATGGTGCAACCATTATGGAAGGCTGTGTGGCGCTTTCTCAAATTATTGCAAATATAAATACCATTTGACCCAGCAATTCTATTACTGGGAATATACTAAAAAAGAAACCATAACCGCCACCCAAGCAAATATATGCACACCCATGTTCTTTGCAGCTTTGTTCATAAAAATACTGTGTTTAAGCTAGTTGCAATTATAGTTATCAGAGATTAGCCTATGATTAGATTAGTAATAAGCATTATCAAGTATTCTGTATGTTCTGGTATGAGAGGAGGCCCATGGGGGTGGGTTAACACAATGAGTTACCACTGTGGATAGTACTAACTCGGAGCTGCTACTGCGGATTGTAGACACTCCTACTGGTGGATGGTTGGAAAGCTCTCATGTCTTTATTAGCGGTTGCAGAGCTGTACAGGAAGTTCTGCTTTATTATTGCAATAAATGAACAGAATAGAAGAATTAATAAGGACTTAATTTTTCTTTTTTTTTAAAGACCAAGTATGCCTTTTTATTTCTCTCTCATAGTTTTATTGCTTTGTATGCAATCCTTTATATATGTATTGTGTTTCATGCATGTACATTGTATTTTATACAATCTCTCATTTACATTGTAATTTTTCTTTTTTAAGTTTGCAAGTAGCATGCTAGATGAATTTGTATCTCCTTGTAAGTTATCCTCAAGAGGGAGAGATAGACATTTGTAATTCGAATGCCATTATAATGATATTTAAAAAGCTCTTTGAATCTGGACATTTTGGACTTAGCAACAGTTTCAAGGGAGCAAACGAAGCATTCTTGGTAACATGATGTGAACTGCACAGAATGCTCTAGGCAATATTAAATTGGGGTGATTTTTAGAAAGTGACAAATGTTTTATATTTCCTAAATCTAAAATGGGTTCTATCAGCTCTAAACGGCTGCCAAGTTATGTTATCACTTGCCTGCCTTGTAACTGCTTCAATTATTTCCTCCCCCAGCCCTTTATGATGAGATTCGTCAGTTTCGCAAGGCCTGCGGAGAAGCTCATCTCAAAACCATCTTGGCAACAGGAGAACTTGGATCTCTTACCAATGTCTATAAAGCCAGCATGATAGCAATGATGGCAGGTAAGTGTTTGATATTCAGATGGTGTTTTATATTCAAAAGATATTTTTAAGAGGAGTAAGTAGAAGTGCTACGCTATTGCTTCAAAGTGCTGACCACTTGGATTTGTTGGTGGGTTCTTTTTTTTTTTTTTTAAGCAGGCGTTGTCAGATATTTTTGTAAGGTGTAAAGTGGTCAGAAACTCTTGGCTTTCTTCCATGTTTCTTGTGGCACCTCATTGCTGCACTATTCTTGAAAGGCAGTAGATGGCTCTCTTGTTAGTGAATTGTCCTCTCTGTTATTCCTTGATTATTCATTCATCAACATATGTTAGACAGGAATTCCTTCAACTCCGACTTATTCCATTCTGTGAATTTATCTCCGAGATATGTATATCCTTAGTATCTAAAGCAGCCTCTGATTTTGTTTGTGTTATCCACCCCCGTTAAAGTTAGTATAGTCTCTTCCACTTTGAAATCCACAGACAGGATGTCTGATCATTTAGATGTCCAAACTTGAACCCTTAAAGTCATGCTTGTTTCCTTCTTTTTCTCATCTTCGCATCAGTCAGTGAACACGTCTTGAGAACACTACCAGTTCTATCTCTTGGCTGTGTCAATTCCATTTCTCCCCATTCTGAGTGCTGCTGTCCTGCACTACTGCCAGCCCTACCATTGGTTCTACAGGGATTACAATCTTCTAAAGTTTCCTGCCTCTTCTTTTGTGCCCCTCCAATATGTTCTCCACATTCTTTCCAGAATAATCTTTTTATTTAATTTTTTTATTTTATTCATTTTAATGAACATTTTCAGAGATTTTGGACTTCCATTCATAGAATAATCTTTTTAAAATAATAATTGTATTGTGGTCCTGCTTTCTGAAAACCCTTCAGTGACTTTTCCTCATCATTAAGGTAAAATATGAATCCTGTAAGTTTGAATTAAAGGGGTGATCTCTTCTTGTCTGCTTGTTTCTCGTTATCCATTATTTCATTTTTCCATTTAACCAGTGTCCATTGGGACTTACATTGAGCAGTATAACTTTACTTATGTCCTTTACTGAATACTTTAAAATAATCTTTCCATCCGAAGATCTCTGGTGACACAGTGATTAAGCATTAAAACCCACCTCTGTCCCGCTCTGTGGGAGAAAGAGCTGATGATCTGTTTCCCTAAAGATTATATACAGCCCAGGGAATCCAATAGGGCAGTTCTGCTTTGTTTTTATATATATATATATATATATATATATATATATATATATTCATATCTTTGTACCTTTTAGGTCCTCATCATTTTGTGTGTATATCGCATACTTTAATTATATGATAATTATATTCCTTGAAGTTCCCTAAAGATGGCATCATCAAAACTTTTGAGTCTTTGAATGTTTTTACTCCTATCTGCAATACAGTTCATCTGTTAACTCCTTAATATCTTTCAGAATTTAGCACAGATATCACCCCTTTTGGGGGCAACTCCCTATCATTCGGTTATCAGAGCATTCTGTTAAATCCTCCATTAGATAACTTATTATGGTTATTGACTTTTTAGGATCTCTACTTTTGTAGAGATAAGTCGCTTCTCAGATCTTTAATCTAGCTTATTTGTTGCTTAATTGAAATCATTGCTGTTGAGTTGGAACCAACTTACAGCCGACCCTCCAGTGAGTTTTTGAAGCTATAAATCACCCTCCAGTGAGTTTTTGAAGCTATAAATCACGAGAGGAGATTATCTAGATTTCTTCCAAGAAACTGCTGGTAGATTTGAACCAGGTAGAGAGTTGAGGTCATTGGTTAGCAACCCAATCCTTGAGGGAGTTCTTGTTGTCATAGTCTGTAGGGAATTGTGCTTAAATCCAAAAGTAGCGCCTGTCTGGAGGTTCAGATCCATGAGTGGCTTGAGGGGAGAAAGATGGACAGTCTCCTCTTGTGTGTGATTTACAGCTTCAGAAACCTGCTGGAGGCTGAACTATGAGTTGGTTCCAACTTAATAGTCATGAGGGGTTTTTTTGTTACCCATTGTTACTCTCTAGATTTTTATATTCATATATATATATATATACATATATATATATATCTTTTTATTAAAAAAAAAACAAAACAAACCAGTCTTGGACCTAGCATAATTCTTTGTAGTCTTTCCTAGAAGTCAGCCCACTTAGCATGAAGCATCATTGCTGTAGTCAGTGCTGCTGAATCCAAGATAGAGATATCCGGGTTGTCTTATTTAGAGCAAATTCTCTGAAACCTGAGTACAGTCTTACCTTGAAAATACTGTAGGTTCTATTCCAGACAGATCACAATGAGGCCAGTCTTAAAGGGAGCATGGTTGGTTTTGTTTGTTTCCAGTGTATACAGAAATTATATTTATGCCATAGCCTTTTAAGGGAACAATAACAGTTTGAAAATTTTATAATGTTTTGAGAAGTACTAAAATATGACAGATATGAAGTGAACATATTCTCTTGGTCAAATGACACTGATAGAATTCTCTGTGCAGGTTTGCCACAAACTTTCAGTTCATAAAAACACACATTATCTGTGGAACACAATAATATGAGGTGTACCTATGTTATGCATCAGAGAGTTGGACAATGACTAGGGAGGATAGAAGGAAAATTGACGCCTTTGAGCTGTGGTGCTGGAGAAGAGTATTGAATGTTCCATGGTCTGCCAAGAAAACAAACAGATCCATCTTAGGGAGGGTTAAACCAGGCTACTCCTTGGAGGTAAGGATTCTGGGGCTTCGTCTGACATACTTTGAACATGCTGTAAGGAGAGACAAGTCCTTGGAGAGGGACATCATGCTTGGTAGGGTAGAGGGACAGCGCAGGAGGGGAAGACCCTCTATGAGGTGGATTGATTCAGTGACTGGGGTAATCGGGATGGGTGTATCAGAGGCAATGCGGTTGGCACAGGATAGAGCAGGGTTTAGGGCTGTTGTACATAGGGTAGCTATGAGTTGCAAATGACTCGACAGCACATAACAACAACAACAACAACAACCTATGTAAAGAAAAATCAGACCTTGAACAATGGTCCTCACTTCTGATGGCACTTCAAGGTTTCAGGGTAAATAGAAGACTTACTGTATCTCTTAGGAACCTGGAGAAAGCCTCTGGAATCTGTAGTTAGACAGTAACCTTTTCGTGCTCTCTGCTAGGATTTAGCTCAGGATGAAAGTATATTCATTCTTGGAAGTAGATCTGCCAATCCTATTCTCTCCATCACCTGGTACTCGTGATAGGAACATTAATTAGATCATCATGGTTTGGAAGCCTATGTTCTGCACCACCTTATTCAAACACAGTGAGAAAAATATAAGTAGACACATTTTCCTTTGATATCTTTTGTTCTACTGGCTTCTTCCTGTTCACATTCTTAGTGATTTCATTTCTTCATTTAACCAGTGCTTTTTGAGACTTACTGTGAACAGTGTATCTTTGAAATAATCTCCGTTTAATTACATCAAGGATCACTGATGCAGTTGTTAAACATTTTAATCCTCACCAGAAGGTTAGCAGTTTGAACCACTAAAAGAGCCTTGAGAGAAAAGACCTTTGTGTCAGCTTCCAAAAGGATTTCAGGCCAGGAAATTCCATGGGACACTTACACTGTTCTGTGCATTGCTGTCAGTCAGAATCAATTTGCCAGCATGTAGCAATAAAAACAACAAATATTGTATGAGCCCTGTAAATGATGCAATATAAGGAGATGAAATAGTTTACTTCAGGTGACAAAGTTAAGAGTCTTAGAATGGTTCCATTTGCTTCTTCACCAGTCATTTGTATTATTATTTCTTGTGTTCTCCTTCTACCTAAGTTATATGCCTTATCTTAGAGTAAAGCATTTTCCCTTCCATGCGTTTAATATATGTTGTCTTCATTTGTCAGATCTTTTTGCACCTTTTAATTATTTCGTTGTTGTTGAACACTTATTTTGGCAAAATATACAACCAATTCAAACATTTTTACACATTTACTTCAGTGACATTGGATTTGCACATCCTTTGACTTGTATAACCATTCTCACTCTCTTTTTCTGAGTTGTTCCTCCCTTGTTAACAAAACTCTGGTGCCCCTAAGATTCCTAGTCTTCTGAATTGCTGTTGTCACTTTGATTCCACATACCACTTACGTCCATGGAGTCAGAATTCAGTTATTCAGAACTGACTCATAAGTGACTTAGTTTCCTGTGGACCAGACCAATGGAAATTCCTTAGATATCATAGGCAGACTTTTTTTTTTAAAATAAAAACAACAAAACACCACTTTGGTTAAACTATTGTTGACCTTCTAAGCAACTTTTGTTTAACTGTTATCTTTTAAAGAAAATTAAAAGAGAAAAACCCCCAAATTAAGCCAGAATTTTATGTTTTCCCATGCTTATATAATTTCTAGTGATCTTTATGTTTTCCTGTAAATGTGACTTTCCATCTGGTACAATTTCTCCTTAGTGTAGAATAATTCTACGTGTATTTTTTTAAAGTGTAAGTCTACTGGAGATTAATTCTTACAGCTTTTGTTTATCTTTAAATGCTCCCATGGTTCAAGTATATTTTGCTGGATATAGCTGACAGTTTTCTTTTTAGTTTAGTAATTTAAATATGCAATTTCATTACCAGGTATTCTATTCTTGTTTTTCTGTTTATGATGTTTCATCTTATTCTGTTTGTGTCAATCAATATTTTCTCTTTGTCTTTGTTTTTAACTAATTTGACCATGGAATGACTTGGTAGTAAAAACAGTTAAGTGCTTGATTAGCTGCCAAGAGGTTGATTATTTGAATCCACCCACAGACACTGTACAAGACAAGCTTGTCAATCTGCTTCTGAAAGACCACAGCTTGAAATGCCTATGGAGCTATTCTTGTGGGCATGCATGGAGTCACCATGGATTAACTTTATGGTAACTCAGGATAACAGCAGGAGCTTAGGTAGCTTAGTGGTAAGGATTTGTACTGCTAACCCAAAGATATATGTTTCAAATCCACCAGCTGCTGTGTTGGAGAAAGATGAGAATT